GGAAGGAAAGAAATTTGTTTCATCATTCGTAGACCGATGTCATTCGATATTCTCTGGTTCTTTCAATACGTGTATGAATGAAGGTAGGTGTACCAGATTTGTACCTGTTCAGTTTCTAAAATAAATGAATATGTTTTCCATTTAAATTTTTTGACTCATGATTTTGGTGAAAATAATCACTTATTCGAAGGGTAGGAGAAAATCCAATTCTCATTTGACCTTGAATAAGGAAAAAAATCGCCTACGGCACTCTCCTTATTTATTATATCACTCAATACTCAATGTAATCTTTTTTTATTTTCGAAATCTAGCCGGCCTACTCCGGTCGAGCTACCAACTTTTCGCATCGGGATCAAAAGTACCTACTACAATTTTGGTTCATCCAATTTCTCGAAATCCTTGTTCAATTCTGTTGGAAAATCGAGTGACACCTTGTTTTGAAGAATGTTTGAAAAAGGAAGAATACCATAAAAATATTAGGTACATTTTCACATTGACGTTTCCGGAGCGAATTTGCTTCCGTATTCAACATAAAAATGGAACATGTTTTAGTACGGCAGACGGTGCGGTCTATCGTTCAATAACCCAATCATGGGGTATAACTTAATTGAACATCAAGGACATTTTTTGTCATCATCATCCACATATATAATGAGAAATTACGACATCGCCCCATGGTCGAGAGACAGGAAAAAATGTACGAAGATCGCGTTTTTCAATATGTCTGAAAAATAGCAGTCTAACAATAATGGGGATGAAGCTAAAAAAACATATGAGGGCTCATTTTGTAGCCTGAAGTATAACCAATCGAATTGTGTATTGACAATTCATATTTTTTCATCCGAATATCTAAAAATTTCACCACTTTCAAAAACTATCCTATATAATTTTTCAATATTTCATTAATCTTCAACAAGCAAGAACTCGATTATTTTCCAAATGAACTACATCATATTTTCCAATCAAAAACTGCGTAATTTTATGAGGAACATTTCATCTCGATCAATGGTATGGATATTCCTAACAGTTTTTGTTCTGCAATTAAATTTTTAGGACAGCGCACCACAGTCGAGGCGTTTCGTCGGAGCAAAAATGTAAAATCAATAAACCATTCTAAGCGTAACGATCGATTAAACTTTCACTCGTCGCGCGCTTAGACCGTATTCTTCATTAAAATTTGCTCATTTTGTCGAAATGGAAGATATGGTGAGCAATTTATATTTAACTAGATATCTTCGATGGAAAGTTGATTGTCACAAATGCAAATTAGGCGGTTTTTACAAGAAACATCTTACAGAAAAGTAAACAATGTACATTTATTGATGGTCTTCGTCATCGGATTTTTCAATATTCTTACAATGAGCGTTACATTTACACTCAGTACAACAAAATACATCCTCTGTTTTGCAAATGCACTTCTGTGTTGAACATGTTTTTTCTGTACGCAGTAAAATCATACACCCAAATGGTCTACTGGTTAGTGCTGTCGACTTTCAGTCTGAAGGTCCATGGTTCGAATCGCTGTAAACTTGATTTTTTTTTGCAACTTTTTTGTTTTTTTACTTCATTCAGGTTTTCCTTTTTCATAAAATATTTGAAGTCAAATAGGTTAGTGCGTGTAGGATAAACAGTCTCATTTTATTCAATTTTGTTGAAGAACTCAACTTTTGAAATACAGGGTGTTTCATAATTGAATGTCAATATTTGGGGACGCAATTCTTGGGCCCATTCTAAGAAGAAAGTTTCATATGAACGTATGACCTAAACATCCTAACTTTTGAGATACAGGGTGGTAAAGTTCTCAAAAATTAATAGTTTTTTATTAATATCTGTAATACCACTTCAGATATTCTGATGAAATTTGGCATACATGTACTATGTATCAAGAGGCATCAGTTAGCGTACCACATTTTTTGTTGTTGCCACCAGTGGCGTTCGTATGGAATTTCACATACCTATTTTGGCAGACATTGATGGTACGCCACTGATTAATCTCCAAATTGAAATCATTCCTGAAATTCCCGATCATTTCTAAGCAAATTTGATCACTACAATTTTTTCAATCTGATGCACGGTTTTCGCTTAAAAATAAAAAGCTTTTCACTACATGATTATAGTAATATTGTTAATATGATAATATCACAATGCAGAGAAATAGTTTTTATTTTTAAGATCAAATTTCAGAAATACAATTCATAGTTCATGAACTTTGTATTCGTATTTGGTATTTTCGAATTATAACTTCTCATTGTAGTAGGCTATATTAATTTTCGAGAATTTTACCACCCTGTATCTCCAAAGTTGGGACGTTTAGGTCATACGTTCATATGAAACTTTCTTCTTAGAATGAGCCCAAGAATCGCCTCCTCGAATATTGACATTCAATTATGAAACACCCTGTATATCATTAATCAATCAGCAATCAGGGATAGGTTAGTTCGTTGAGGATAAATAGTTTCTGAGTTTTGCCTAACTACTTCGAAGATAAGATATTACGGTCGGCGTGGTTTGTGCTAGCGTACAGTATATTTAGTAAAATCGCAGCCAGGAAAGTAGTTGTTTTCTGTTGAAAATACTGAGAAAGAATTGATAATTTCATCACATACCGAATGCGAATTCTCTATGTATTTCTTTATATCTAAATAAACAGGTGCGGAAAAGTATGACTTTCGGCATTTGTTAGGTAAACTACATTTTCGTCTAAACTCGACAATGCGAAGATCAATTATTGTTATATTGATTGTTCTATCTCAGATTCACAGAGGCTGTTCAAAAAACTGCTTAGGAACTGGTGATGGGTTCAGTTTTGACGAGTGGATATGGTCAATATCATGGAAAATTAGTCTTCAAGTTCTGAATGGTTGGAGATGACATTTCGAGAACTACACAGATCAATATAAGCTTTGAGTATTCACACTCAGTTTTCATTCGTAGGTTACCCGATTTCATCTTCGAATTTTGTCCGCCCTATATCCTATTTTTATCTGGTGGCGCCTATATGTTCCAAAGTCACCTGATATAGATCAGAATCAGAATCAGATAGACAAGAACGTTTATTCAATAGCTTCCATAGTGAGTTTCACAAGAACGTTTATTCAATGGCTTCCATATGTATGTATGTATGTATGTATGTATGTATAAGCATTTTTTCATCAATCCCTATCTACAGCACCGCACTAATTATCGTTAATAAAGAATTCTCGAAACTAAATTCCGTAGCTGAACTTCGATTTCAATCTATAGTTTCGTATCACCTTCTTCCTTTTTCTAGAAATATGGGTACAAAATACAAAATGAATGAATTTGGGTATGACATAGATTCATATAAAGAACATCCATATTCTTGTATCTATAATCAAAATTTGAAAACTCCAAAGTTTGTTGTAAAAAAACCAATTGTAAAATTGTTTTATCCGTCATTCGGTTGCCCCCTTACGAGCAACCCTCAGAAGTCTTCGAAAGTATTGTGCGAGCAAGGAATGACGGGGGCCTTACCTTTTAACGTGTGATCCCAAACACTTGTAACATGCCAAACACCTATTTCTCGAACCCTTCTCTCAACTGACTTCAAGGAATTGTAGTTTTTAAGAAAATACTTCAAATAAACACTTTCTTCTCCATATAGCAAAAAAGTTGGGTGACGTTCATATATTTCATATTGAAATGTGGTCATTCATCACTTCATATCATATGAACGATCTTATTCTCGAGTGTACAAGAGCAATAGGAACATAAAAGCAGGTGGAACTGAAAGTATACGTAGAATCCCCACATGACGTGAGAGCAGGCAACACTGTGACCGGCGTTCGCTCTGCGCGTGGCTGGTAGGCCTCTCTGCAGTCTGTCATTTTACGGTTCTGCTGCATTACATTCTGATGAATTCCGATTCTGCCAATGTACGGTTTTGATTTTTTACGGTTCTGCTGACGTACAGTTCCTATATTTCACGATTCTGTCGATGTACGGTACTGAATTTTTACGATTCTGTTATTTTACGGATCTAACATTTTACTATTCTGCTGAATTACGGTTCTGATAGTTTACGATTCTATCACAATACAGTATATGACATTACAGTCTGATGAAGTACATTCTGTCATTGTACGTTCTGATATAATATGATTCTGATGGAATACGGTCTGTTGTATTACGAGTCTGTCGATGTACGGTTTTAGCATTTTACGATTCTTTCAATTTACAGTTCTGATATTTTGAGATTCTGTGAATATGCTGTTCTGATTTTTTGCTATTCTGTCAATGTACGGTTCTGACATTTTACTATTCTGTCGATAAACGGTCTGTTGTATTTCGATTCTGACAAAGTACGGTCTGCTAATGTGCGGTCTGTCATTCTGCGATTCTGACGAATTACGGTCTGTGTTGTTATGATTCTGACGAAATATCATTCCGCTGTGATGTTGGTTTGTTAGTTTTCGATTCTGTATATTTGCGGATCTGCGATATTGCTATTATAGAAAAATACACATCTGCGCATTTGCAATCTGTTATTGTCTGGTATGCTCATGTACAGTATACAAAATACGGTTTGAGGGATTGCGGTTCTGTGCATCTACAGTAGAGATAAATACGATTCCTATAAAATATTGTTCTGTTGAGTTACCGGTTTGAAAATGTATATTCTGATGGATTACGGATCTGCGATTTTACATTCTGGTGATTTGTGTGTTCCCATTATGACATCGGTCGGGCGTCGCAGTTTGGTGAGTGAATGACGTCAATACGACGTGAGTAATATGACGTCATTGGGCTGTGACTTATTCACGTCATTGGGCTGTGACTTATTCACGTCATTGTAACGTCAATGCGACGTCAACTACTGACGTCACCTTTTCAAGTGACGTGAAAAAGACGTCACTGGAACGTCATCTGGTTGCCTGGGGAATACGTGCTGAGATTTTGTACAGATCTTCCAGGGACACCCTGAATATGCCATCATCCACCATCATTCCTTTTTGAAATGTTTCAATGAACTTTTTTAGGTGGTTGAAAGGTCAAGAAGACTGCCAATGCACCGATATACACTATCGTTCACTAACGGGCGAGGGTAACTTCAACTGGAGGTTCATCTACCCTTTTGACTATTTGGCTGCAGAGCAAAAGATAGTGATTTCAAGAAAAGAATCACTGTTTTCTTGGGACGAGACCGAATCTAAGATTCCCGCCAGACTGGAACTTCAGGTGTGGGATGCAGATCATTTTTCTGCAGACGATTTTTTAGGTAAGTTTCTCCAAAAATGGAATGTCTTATAGTGTGCGAAGATTTCATTGAAACCAGGGCCGGATTAACCACAGGGCACGAGGGGCAACTGTCCAGGGGCCAATTCAGAATTGGGGGCGAAAATGTTGCCAATAAGTATCATGAGCAAGAAACAATAAGATAATTTCTCAGTGATCACGGATTCTTTCCTTCGAAGATTTTATTGATTATTATAAAACAAAATTAAAATTGATTGATGTATTCTGTGTATATCTACAGGGTGTCCCATAAATCATGGATTGAAAGAAGTGGCGGGTTGGTGGTGGGTCATTTCCAATCAAACTAACATAATGTGGTTATGCAATTGTTGGTGATTCGAAAGTTTTTTTTCAATTTCTATAAATTGAATTTATCACAATAAAACTATGTCACATTTGTGATTTTATCTTCAACAAATTGCATCCCAGAAATAATTTTATGACATGTGTAACTTATTCTTATCAACCTGTGAAAAATGTTGTTTTCCTCAGGTTTTATCATTGAACATTTACATTATTTTGAATTCATTTCTTGAAAATAGAACAATCAATACAAAATCAACCAACTCTGTGTCAAATAAACTAATAATCAATAAGGGTGTCCCATAGGGCTCTGTTTTAGGACCTATACTATATTTACTTTATGTTCAAAATATCAGTGAAATTGGTCTCACGAGTAAATATACCATGTATGCAGATGATACAGTACTTTTATATGAAGGCAGGAATCCTTCAAATTTAGAAAATATGATAAATGAAAACTTGAAAATATTTGAAAAATGGCTCCACTCTAACCTTTTATCGATAAATACTAACAAAACAGAATATATGATTTTTCACCAAAAAAATAAACAAAAAATTTACCTCAACCTTAAAATGAAAAATGAACTCTTAAAACAAACTGACCAGATGAAATATTTTGGAATTTAGTTTGATGACAGGTTGAAGTGGGACAAACATATTGATGTTATGACAAAAAAATATCTCCAATTATTGGTGCATTGAGAAGATGTCCCAAACTTGATATTAAAATTGCAAACATGATTCTCTACTCTCATATACTGAGTCGTATCAACTATTTAATAAATGTTTGGGGAACTTGTTCAAAAAACAATTTCAATAAAATATCAACATTATATAGAAAATCGTTAAAAGTATTGTATCGTCTCCCATTTGATACATCAACCAATCAATTGTTTGAAATAACAAATACGTATTCTTTAAATTAAATATATAGAATTGAAACTCTTAAAATATCATATAATATCATAAATAAAAAACTGAAGTCGAATTTTATGTTGATACGGAATTCTGAAATTCATAATCATGAAACAAGACAAATCGGACAAAAAAAGATTCACTCATTCAGCCTCAACTGAATTCAATAAACTACCTGACAATATAAAAAATTGCAGAAATATAGGTACATTCAAAAATGAAGTGAAAAATTGATTATTTCTGAGCGAACTGGATAAAATTGAACATGCCATTTTTTTTATTATTATTCTTCGTTTGTCAATTTACAGTTGTTGATATATTTTGTATAATGATATGTTTACCTATAGGTATATAATTATGTACTTCCTTATACCAGAGTTATCTCCTTTCTTATGCAGAAGGGATATTTTCCTTACTCCCTGAAAAAGAACTGTTGGAGACATGTTTTACTGTTGAGGCCGATAGGAATTTGCTATTTGCATTTCCATATATATATGGAATATACAGGGTGATTCACATAACAACCGACATAGGGCAGGGGCATGTAGGGGGTCTCAAAATATGGCAATTTAACGCAACTTACCTCTATGCCAAGTTACTTCCCTAAGGAGTTATAGGCATAGCACTAACAGCATGTCAACTTGCTCGTTAAAAGAAAACTTCCCGTTCATTTTAAAAACACTCAAACAACAATTACTTAATTGAACAACTCACTTGCCTCATTGTCAAGTTTGACGTTTATTTTCATAGCCAACTTTTGAATTTTCGATGATTTTAAATAACACACCTAGAGCGCGCGTTTTCAGTTATTCGAGTTTTTGATGAAAATTATGGGGTTTCTCGAAAAATTACTAGAGTAAGAGAAGTTTTAGAATTGAATTGCCCACAAGACAAAGCAAAGATGTTTGAGATCCAATAAGGGTTAACAAAATTATGTTGAATATTGATGGTGCGCCACCCGGTATACCCCTTTAACAAATTTCAATTAAACTCTAGTTACTGTCAAGTAACGCCTTAAATACATCCACAAAGTGTACCAAATTTGGTTGCTTTGAGTTCAAGAATAACGAAGATATTGATTGATTTTTTTTCAAAATTTATAACTTCACTTTCAAAGCCTATATTTCCTTAGGGAAGCAACTTGGTATAGAGGTAAGTTGCGTTAAATTGCCACATTTTGGGACCCCCTACATGCCCCTGCTCTATGTCGGTTCTTATGTGAATCACCCTGTATATAAAATAGTGACATGCATTGTTTCGTAAAAATGATATAGTATTTGTGGCGGACATTTCGCAATAACAGTGATGTAATAAGTTTTACCTAATATAGCTACATAACACGTATTATCAGTTATGTAACACTTACTTATGTCAATTTTACATAATTGTGTTTGCTGGGTTGTGTCTCGAGGGCAGAAAATGAGCTTCAGCAGCTCGTGGCTATTAGCTGCACGAGCGAAGCGAGGGCAGCTGTGGTAGCTAAGGGCTGCTAAAGCGTTTTCTGCATGTGTGACACACAACTGTTTTTCGCCTACTGGAAACATAATTGTTGTCTTGATTCCGAACTTCCATTGATTCCTAACTTCGATTCACACTGACTTTAAATGAAAATTTATGTGAAACGACAAAATACGCATCACGCAAGTCAAAAGTTGTTATGAGTTTAGAAGCCCAAGGGACGATATAAATTACTTTCGGTCACATTTTTAGGGTTTATAAATGATGCATTATATATGGTTAGCGGCGAAAATATATATTGTGCCCCGAGCGCCAAGTGCTCTTAATCCGGCCCTGATTGAAACTTAATAGATCCCAGTGCTGATGGTTTCTCATTCTTTCTTTTTTGCAGGAGCAATAACTATAGACCTGAACAGATTCCCAAGAGGTGCGAAATCCTCAAAACTATGCACTTTGGACATGCTGAAAGCAGATGGTTCGGTCCCGATGGTCAACATTTTCAAGCAAAAGAGAGTAAAGGGCTGGTGGCCGTTTTTTGTTAAAAAGGACAACGAGGAGATGGAATTGACTGGGAAAGTAGAGGCCGAATTTCACCTTCTCAGCAAGGAAGAAGCAGAAAAAATACCTGCTGGACTCGGGAGGAATGAACCAGAACCACTGGAGAAGCCAAAGTAAGATCAGGTTAGGTATAACTCGATGATGAATTATACTTATATGTCATTTTCAGTCGACCAGATTCTTCTTTCATGTGGTTCATGAATCCTCTGAAGTCAATCAGATATATAATATGGCACAACTACAAGTGGACTATTCTCAAACTACTGATAATAATTGGATTAGCAATAATTATACTGTTATTCTTTTATTCAATACCTGGTTACACTGTTAAAAAAATTATTGGTGCTTAAACTTTAATCAGATTCGAATCAGGGTTAATATATGATTATTGTCGAAATTGATGAAAAGATAATCGAAAACTCCAAATCAACGACCAAAGTGCATTTTGAATTCACATTCATTTCCAACCATTTTTCTCTCTATCTCATCACCTATCAATCAATAAAAACATGATAGGATGAAGATGGCGGAACTTCTATTCAAAGACTTATAGGTAGGTAAATTTCCACTAATATAATGTTCTCCTGATGTTTCAAAGAACGGCGATTTTGTACACTAAACCAGGGTTGGCATGAATTAATTCATATGAATTAAATCAGTGATTTAATTCGTGAATTAATTCCATTGACCTTTTTCGAAAAAGTCATGAATTCATTCGAATTTTTAAAAATGAGACAAATTGCACTATTACCTGCACTGATTTTAACTAGTTTAAACTGAAAAATTCGATCGTATTTTGGCAAGACTTTGTAATTTCAAGCATGACAGATATTTTTACTAACAGATATATACAGTATCAAAAGTATCATCCATAAAGTCCATAACATAATATGAGAACAGGTTTATTATCACAGCATCGAGTTTTTTTCTCTCGGCGATCCATTATATATGCATATCCGATAATTTGAAAATCGATTTTGACACATGTCACGTGATCACTGGTATGGTGATAAATAAAAATAATACTATAAAGCGACAAAAAGTGGGTTAGATAACAAAATATCCATAATTTTTGCAGGAGAATTGGAAATAGCTATATTTCTTCGAATATTCTTCAATTTTGTTACGATTCTCTTTTTTTTTTCTGACAGTAGTGATGCTGATGATGTACAAGTTGAATAGAATTCAATTTCATGCTCACATATGGAGTTTCCAGCCATTATTTGAGAAAACTGAAAATAGCTATTTTAATTTTTTTCAATTAACTTCATCTTTCCATCTAACCCCACTTTTTGCCATCGTAATTTTTTGAATTTACCGCCATACCAGTGATCAAGTGACATGTGTCAAAATCGACTTTCAAGTAGTCAGACATGCATAATAGATCCCCGAGAAAAAATGTTTCATTATTCTACTAATAAACTTTTTCTCCATGTGTTACGAGCTTTATGGATGATACTGGCATTCTATCATCACTTTCAATTTTGTTTTGAAAAAATGACATGTTATATTATGATGTTATTCTACAAGATTTCTGAAGGGAATAAAAACATAGTTTTTTTGTTTCTTTTTTTCTATTTCGCTTTGGGTAGGTAAATGAAATTTGTTTTTATTTTCTCAAATGAATTAATTCAAAAAAGTCTGACTTGATTCAAAAAGTCGGACTTTGATGACTTTTTCATAAAAGTCATTACTTATTCCAACCCTGCACTAAACTCCATAACACTCAAACGCTTTCATAGATGGAATTCAACACATCTAATTGATGTTCGGAGTGATATAATATGTATACTGTAGAGTGTAGATGATATTTCAATCGATATATTGTGATATGAGGTTGATTTCAATAATAAATTTCTCGAATGATCGCCATCTAGCTGAAAAACACTGACACTGTGAGTGAATACACCATCTTCCTTTCATGTTTTTATTTGTTATTCATTGATGTATTGTAATTTATTGTGATATAAAATAAGGGCAACATATATTTAAAAAGGGCAAATCAAAATGTGGATGTTATATTTCACAAGCAATGAAACCAAAGAATGAAACAACATGAAATAATTTATGGATGTATATTTAAGCTCATAAACATTTATCTAATGTCTTGTTGAATATTTTCAGACTTCTATATGTTAATGTTAAGATTGTAAAAATATCAAATAAATCAAAAGACAACGTGAATTTTATTCAGTACAAAAAAGTATTGGAATAAAACATGCATAATTCTAAAATTAATTCCGAAACTATTAAAAATGTAAATAAAGATTGACAATCATTTTTGTCACACCTGCATAAAATATGTTCTTCTCAATTCTCACAATCGTAATGTGTATATTTCAATTCAACAATAATAAAGCAAAAACAATGTACCCATTGTCTTTCAATTGAACAACAACATCATGGTCATCAGAAATGTCTTTCTATCCATATTTGGTTTTTAGATCCTTTTTCAAACTCGTATAATATTGGACAGGATTTTGAAAAGGTAGTACATCATCCATATCCTCGTTAGGCAAACCTTTTCGAATGGTTTCATAAAAATATTTACAAGAAACACTGGGGTTTTCCTTCCTCTCGTATATCATGACTTCCACTTCATCTGGATTCTTTGGTAATATCATTTGCAAGGCTCTTCTCAAATTGTCATCGTCGAAATGTTTGAATGGACAACCACCACTATCTCTAGCTCCCAAATCTTTATTCTAGAATACAAAATTCGTTTTTTTTTTGACAAAAAGCAAAAAAAGCTTCGAAATATTTAGGTTATAGTAACAGTTATGAAGAATAATTGTACCTGTAGATATCTACAAGATCTAGACTGGTAACTTGTTCTAGACCCTTCAAGTCCATACAAATGTCTTATTCCATAAATATATCGCTTTTGGTTCTTCTGCCAACTATGAGTGCATCTTGAACAAGAGGAATGTTCTTTTGAATACATGTCTTCCCAGAATTTCAAGGAGTCATTCAAAGAAACGCCTATACCTTTCAAATATAGACTAAAATCGAATCTAAAAAAGGCAATATTGTTATAGTGGCAAGTGAGAAATGCTGGAAGCAGATGACGCTAGTAGTAACGTTGGCAGTCATGTAGTCGAAGTAATAATTCATTATCAGTCCACATCGCCCATTATCCTTCCGTTCTTTTTCACATAACATCTAAACGGCTCTACCGATTGGGTTGGAATTTTATATGGGTATTTCGATGGTTTCCTGGATGAATAAAAAATACAATTGAACGCGGTAGGTGGCGCTGCTGTCGGTACGTCAACTACTGAACGGCTTTGCCGATTGGGTTGAAATTTTTAATACGTGAAATGACATAAAGAATACAAAAGATACTGAGAGAATGAAAATAGGTGTAAGTAAGTAGATGATAGTAGCTATAGGTATAAGCACAAAAATTTTTCAAAAAATAACGAAAAAATTATGTACGGCAACAAATGTCAATTTTTTTTTAAATAGGTGCACCAACTGTGCGAAATAGGGTCGGATATTATTAATGTTTCATTTATTCACAGTGACGGGATTTCCCCAGCAAAGTTTTTATTGCGCATTATTTGTGTTCCTCGAGAATGTCTGGAATGAATATCAGGAAATCAGGTAGGTAGTTTGTATCCTCACTATTATATCATAAAGTTTGAATTACAAATGACTGGCCAACCATACTACACCGGAGGTTTCTCAAGAGTGGCTCACCACTTTAACCTTATTGTTTCTGCAGATAAACAAATGAGATTCGGTGTCCGAGTATGGTACATAAATATAAATTTTTTGACATATTCAATTGCTTTCTGTCACTTCTGGTTTGACCGGAGAAATCACCCTCAATTCCTTATTTTAAATGGAACACCCGGTATATTGTTAATTATTTTAATAGATAAGTAATCACATTGTGAGTACAATGACACCTCATTTGTCACTAGAGTACCATGAATGAGTTGAAACGGTTAATTTTGGATCAAATTACCAGAGAAAAATATTTTCGACGAAGTTTTACTTCTCATTTTTGTAATGTCTTATGTTGTGTATGTGGTTGGGATTAAAGTACCTAAATATCATGAGGTTTATATTCCTTTAGGAAGTTACGTGACAAATAATCAGCAATTATCAATTCTGGGTCTTTTTTGTAAACTGTCAAGTTTCACAAGATGCATGGTTTCAATAAATTTTGAAATATAATCAATAACAATTATATATAGTTTTTTCCCTGAAACTGAAATATATCTACTCCTACACATTCCCACACATCATCAGTAATGTCAGATGGAATCAAGGGTTCTTGGGGATTTGAGAGTCTGAAATTCAAACATATTTCACAATTATGAAAAAAATATCTGAATTAATATTGGGCCAAAATAAACATTGCCGTGCTCTACTATACCAAGATGATTATAGTGTATCACCTCAAGCATTTCTTGTCATAGGAAAGGTGGTATAAGTACTTCATTATCGTTAAAGATTGCATCATTCACACTAACCAATTCATCTCTACAAGTCCAGAAATTTTGTAATTCCAAACTTAGGTTCTGTTTATTTTCCGGCCAACTTGATTTTATTAATTTTAAAAGTTGATTAAGCAGGACTTCATCCTTCTAAGTTTATTTCTGAATTGTTCATTCATAGGTCAAACAAAAGTGTTTATGATGTAAACTCAATTTTTTCAAATGTAACCAAGGTTGCTCATTACCATATCTGATGAGGGTATTTTGTTACGAAAAATCTGATACCACACATTCGATATTTGACATAAACGTTGATAACATAACTCCTAATGACAAACTAAATTGAAAATGTGATAAGTGCCAAAGAGTTACAAATGGGATACCATTGCACTCATGCGCAATGTGATTTTCTATTGAAATAAGTGAAAATGTACCGGATACCGTGTTCCATTTAGAATAAGAAAGTGAGTGTCATCTCCGGTCAAACCTGGAGTGACATGAAACAATTGAAGGCGTGAAAAAAATGCATATTTATACATAACACGTAACATTAAATTTCATTCGTTTATCTGTACAAACTGAAATGTTATATAGGGTTAAGCCACTTTTGAGAATCATCGCCAAGTGGAGAAACTGTTGAACTTACCTATCATTATGTGGTAATCGATTAGTTTTTTCCAGTATTTTGTATAAATTCAACATACATAATGGAAAGAACTCTGATTCTCTATCAATTTTTGTGATATCAAAAGCTGCAGTATTCCTGCTATTGCCAAGGCCATTCTTGCTATTGAAATCTTTGGCCAATTTGAGGACATGCCTTATTCTATCATCAGACAATGCTTCGTCGACACTCCTACTAAGCTTCATCTCCCGCAATACTGTTTTCAGAAATGTACCAAAAAGAGCTATGAGTACTTTTTTCCAAAGAACACAGCTGATGACAGCGAAACCGGCATTCAAGTCCACTTCTCTATGTTTTACTAGAGACGAACAATATTGGAAAGGCACTAAAAATATGAATCAAATGAAGACATTTTGTATTTCGTGTAAAATTTTCACAAATTAATATAGCCTTCAATGAAAAGTAATAATTCCAAAATACCAAATACGAATACGAAGTTCATAAACTATCAATTGTATTTATCAAATTTGATCTAATAAATAAAATATATTTCTCTGCATTGTGATATTTTCATATTAACGATATTGCTATAATCATGCAGTGAAAAGCTTTTTCATTTTTTTAAGCGAAAACCGTGCATCAGATTGAAGAAAATGTGGTGCTCAAATTTGCTTAGAAATGATTGTAAATTTCAGGAATGATTCCAATTTCGAGATTGATCAATATCTGTCAAAATAGGTATGTGAAATTCCATACGAACGCCACTGGTGGCAACCAAAAAAAATGTGATACACTGATGCCTCTTGATACATCCCAGGCAACCAGATGACGAATGATCACGTCACTGTGACGTCCCTAATTGGTGATTTTTCGTCAGAGACGTCACACACCAATTTATGACGTCACTATGACGTACTTTCTATGACGTGATAATCCACGACATCGTTTCGACGTCGAGTGAACGTCACTTAGATGGGTAAAAGAAGACGTCAGTTTCATGACGTTGCAGGGACGTCCTGTCGACGTCCATTTTTCCCAGACCTTCTCTAAACCATGGGTACTTATATATTATCATGTGAAACAGAAGTATAACTCATGAAAGCAAATCGACATGCAAGTTTTATTGGAATCAATAGTATACCCGAAAAGTAGGAGAAAACTTTTTTCTAAAAAACTTTGACACACGACTGTATATCTCGGAAACCAACAAGCTACTTATATATACAAATGATTGTTATGGTATACCTATACTGAATAAAAAAATCTTCATAACTATACTGTATATGGGTATATATTCATGTTAAAAAATGTATTATGGTATTGATAGTATTTATTCAACTATTGAATGTTCAATTTACCATTTATAAGAAACCCCTCACAGATAATTTTGTCTGTATGTTCATCATGGAAAACATGGTCCAGATATCCTTTTAATAGCATAGAAGAAGAAACTCTCATCAATACCAAACAGAGTTCCCTGAATTTTTCATGGCAATCTTCCTTCAAAGAGTCTCTGGAGTGTTTCAGAAGCCTTTTCAAGAAGTGTTTAACATCAGTTGGGTCATAAGAGTTCAGCCTGAACTCTAATAATTCTAGTTCATTTTTGAGAAATATGTCCTGGAACGTCTTTCTGAAATATGCTAGCAACCTCAATACAAAGTGTCCAGTTCTGTCAAGAGCGCTATCTTCTACCAAGTATTCGTGATTGAATAACTCGATATTTTCCTTATGTACACTATCATAGTAGATGAGTCTGTTTTTTACACATTCTTCTAGTTTGTGTAAGTTCAAATAACCTCTTGGTGGCTTCAAATAGAAAGTCATCAGATGAAAGGAACTGAAAAAAAGTTGTTCCTAATAAATTGCTGATAAGTAAGATAAGTATATACAACTGTTTTGATGATTCACGTCATGGCATATTTTTGTTAATCTATAAATGATGATGAATACAAGAGAAGTTATCTAAGTTGCTCTCAAAAAAAATTTTTGGAAAGAAATACATAGCACGCCTCAGCATCAACGAGCAACAACAAAAATATCGATGGAGCAGACATTAGTCGAACTAATGAAGATATATTACCCGTGACGGTTGCCAATGGTAGAACGTTCTTTCAGCAAACTATGAAATTGATAAAAAATTATTTACGTTCAACAATGGAACAGAATATGTTATGTTATCTCAGCTAGCTCTCTTATCAATTGAATCATCACAGGCATCAAAAATAGATATAACTGATTTGGTCATCAACAATTTTGCGAGTGCAAAAATATACGTAAAAGGAATTTTTAGTTCTTAATCATTTTGTTACATACAATTTCGACATATTCTCATACCAGTGGCTGTTAATGATGAGACTGAACGCAAAGTATCATATGACTGATTATTAATGTTTTTTATTTTGGAGTTTATCTTTGAGTTTTTTTATTATTTATTTATTTTGTATCAGACTGTCAGACACGAATGATATGCTATAGATATGTTAATTAGGTACTGAATTACTGTATTTCGTTTTTCTGTGTGATATAATCACTTTTAGTTTTTTTTATTTCTGAAGTCGTTATATAGTTAGGTATATAACGAAATATATACACCTTTATTCGTCTTTGTTTTTTTGTTCAATCTTAACTATAGGGCCCCATCAACCATCGTTGCCGACACCTCTCGCTACGCCACTGCGCCCTATAGGTATATTTTGGTGTAGTGGGTGGAATCCCCGAGTGGCAAATCCAATCTCCCAAAAACGTCCACGGATTGGACAGATATGGGATTGGACCGATATTATAAATTCGGGATCGGACCGATATTATAAATTCGGGATTGGACCGATATTATTTGCAATGCGAGATTGGGAGTATTTGCCCAAGATTGCATCAGGATTGTAGATGTAGATAACTTTGAACCAAATTAGCACATACTTTACATCAAAAAAAAATCAAGAATTGGCCTTCGTCATAATATTAATTAGTATATTCATCTGGTCGTATTCCTATTAGGCTCTGAAAGTCTCTAAAACTATTTTTATATATATTGAAGTTTAGACCTCTATCACAGAAAACGTTCAATAAACTCACTGATGAGGAGAGTGGGCAATCTATAATTTGCTGCGCTCTCAGGTAAACCAATATTTTTGGATGAACCATCAGCCAGGTGTTTTTCTACATCATATTTCAGACTTCAGTACCTACCCCAATATAACCCGCTCTATAGCTACGCCAAGACGGAATATTAGACACTTCCGAAATTAATCCTCAGGCAGTGTTGCCAGGTGTGGCGCATTTGCTTCTTGCTCGCTAGAGACTTCTAAAGTAGGGGACCAGACGTACTCTTTTTATAGTACAAGTTAGTACTTTTTTTCGAGGCTGCTGTCCTCGTATTCTTTTTTCATTTGGGAGGTAAATGTTCTCTTTATTGAAGTGAGACTCGTTTAGACGGTTCAAAGTTGAAGAGTAGATTACTAAGTGATATAAACAAAACTGAAGAAAGCTCAGGAAAGAGAGAAATTTGATTCATCACTCGTGAACCGATGTTCTCTGGTTCATTCAATTCAAGTTTCTGTGCTTTCTGTCTATGGCTCTAGGTTTTATACTTTTCAGCTACTCTTTCTTTTTTATTTGTGTTTAGAGCTCGAATCTCAAGTCTACTTCAAAACAAAAGGGATTTTTCCAGAATAATTTTTTAAATTTTTTGACTCATGATATTGGTGTTGCAGTTGTTTAGTAGTAGGAGGAAATCTAATTTCCAATTCGAAGGCATTTGACCTTGAATAATGAGACTCATGATGTGCTCATGATATTTGTGAAAATAGGCAGTTGTTTAGTATTGGGATAGGAAATCTAATTTTCAGTTCAAAGGCATTTGACCTTGAATAATGGGAAAAATCGCCAGCGGCGCTTTTTTTTGTTGTTGTGATATACTTAATACTGAATGTACTCTTTTTTTGTTTTCAAAATCTGGTCACAATATCTAAAGGGATATTTCTTTCACATTTCCCGGTTAGAGTCACTGAACCTCCTGAATCCTGAACTATCCTAGAGTATTTAGGTGAAGGTGGTAGAAGGCAACTACGTCATGATGACGTCAACATTAACTATTTTTGAATTCCTATTCCTTTCACTTCACCCACTTCCATAGTTTACCCGTGTATCCCTCACTTCGACATCCACTCCATTCATTTTCAATTTGAATGTTATCATATCCTCCATTCTTATATTCATCATTTGTGAACAAATATTCAAGTTTACCTTTAACCACCTTTATCCTTTACTTTACCAACTATGCAGTTGGTAAACCTTAGGGCAGGTAGGGGAGGTGTACCCCAACGGAAATTACGTCGAAGGATTGAATGAATGAAATATTCCTCTAGCGCTCTTTCGGTTACTTTTTGCGACATTTCATGTTCAGTGTTCAGCAGCTGGCAACACTGAAGTCAAAAATTATGTGGTGTTTTAGAAAATACCAAGGACAATATATGAATTCGTGAATTCCTATAGGTAATCTTATCAAGATTATAGATAAGACAGCTCCATATATCATATATATCAATAGGAATAGTTAGTAAACAATTGAATTTTTACCTGACAGTTTCTACAAAAACCTTCAGACTATTGATCACCGCTCTTGATTGTGTCGTTTTCAAATTCAAAATTAAGATGACCGTTTTTCATCTTGTGGAACCACTGGAACTGGAACGAGTGGAAAAATCAAAAATCTTAGTCACGTGCAACTTCAACAAAACAACGAAACGTAAACAAATGAATAATAAATTGTGGCTACTGCATCTTCCGGCCGTTTCCCAAACGTTTGCTTGAATGAAAGGTTTGTGGATGTTTAATGAATGTTGAATGACATCATAATATGCCTTTTTATGAGATATATACCGGGTGTCCATGTATGTCCATGATGTTTTTCGAACGCGGGGCTACAAGATTGATGATTTTTTAATAGAACACCTATTATTATTATTCCACATATTTCTATTCATTGTTATCTTCGAACTTTTTCTGACTGACTTTTCCGAGCGATCATATAACTTTGTTATTTATAATAAAGTAACATTGCTACAATTTTCAGTAGTATAGTCACATGTCTTAATTTTTTGATGCAATGTAAAAAATATACAGCAATGATAGCTCGATCATTTGAATATGATAAATCTTCTCGATCAATTTTTGAACCAATAAAAAAATTCTACAATCTTGTCGTATAGCCCTACGTTTAGAAAACATCCTGTAGAGTTCCATATACTTTTGATTCATATAAAGACCGAACGATATATTGTACTGTGTATATGAGCTCTTCCACACCAGGTGGACGCCTGGCATACAACTTATAAAAAGGTTTGATTTTATTCAGAACATTCAAATAACATATTCCCAAACCTTCAGCAGCAAACTTTTATTTACCTTATTCTGATGTGTCTTTCGAGTTTGGATAATGGCCACCACGGCCGCCAGGGGACAGTTGGCTCCACATCTGAAGTTTGTCATATCATATATTATATTGGTCTACCTCTGTGCAAAATTTGGTGCATTTATCAAAAAGTGCATAATAGTTTGGCTGATCTGCTGTGCTATTTGAAAATGTCACTATTAGAGCCCAAAAGAAAAATGCAATCGATAGTCAGTGACACCACCATATAGAAGTAAACGCCGGTCCAGTTTCGATATTACTGAATTTTTTCAGTAAACTACTATTACTGGCGAATAACTAGCAGTGATAATAGATATATTCCTAATAACACAACTCGATACAATGGACATCTCATCGATATATCCAGTTTGTGTACACTGGATGACGTATGGACATCCATAGGATATTATTATGAATGTGAATGTGTGATTAATTCTGACAAGTACAGCCATAATTATTTTATGCCAAACTGACAGCCTTTGCTTCTCTATCCATAGTTACATCCAGACTCACTCATCACATAATAGTCAGTGTCAGTAGTCTCAGACATTTATCAATAATGCATCAACGTTAACAACAATAGCAATGACCGACGTCATCACGGCTCATATCACTGCTCTGACATGGCTGACCCTGTGGTCACCGAAAGAGCCGAACGACGTCGATGATACCCGAGACGATTGTGTTAAAAGTAACATATATCATCAGATGGGGCATGGAATGGACACCATATGGATTCCTTTACCTGGACATCCAATAGATATTTTCATGTGAACCTCCTATTGTTGTCCAGTTTGTGTCCATGAACACCATATGTATTATACTTTACCTGGACATCCATTGGATATCGTCATGTGGACATCGTATTGTTGTCCAGATTGTGAACATGAACACCTTGGACATATAATGGATACCATATATGGATTACTTCACCTGGACATCCAATGGATATCTTCATGTGGACATCCTATTGTTGTCCAGATTGTGTCCATTAACACCTTGGACATAGAATGGACACCATATGGATTACTTCACCTGGACATCCATTGGATATCTCCATGTGGACATCCTATTATTGTTCAGAATGTGTCCGTGGACACCTTGGACATATAATAGACACTATACGGATATCCAATGGACATCTTGTGTTATTAGTGATATGTCGTTGGTGTCTGGCAGCATGGTATGATATTGGGAATATCAGATTTATTTAACTCAAGTTTTATGTATGTATGTATACCTACTAGTTTAGTTAGTTAAAAAATATGGATGATCTAGTTGTAGCTGTTACTGCTGATTTTTTTTTATTCTTCATCTGATGAATCTGTGAATCTGATATTGATGATGGCAGTAGCTCTAGTACTGTACTTCTAGTAGCATAAAGTTTGTTAATCTGTGGTAGCAGTGACAATGTAGGAATGTATATCTATACCATTAATATGAGAGGTCAAATTATTCCTCGCCCAAGGATATCAAATTTCATCATCAATTCAGAAGTCACCCAAAACTACCCCAAACATTTTTTGAACATCAAAAGATACATTTTTGTTCATTAAAAGGTTTTAGGTTTGAAATGGACACTCGAGCATACCATACTATAGATGGAAAGTGGAAGAGAAATAAAAAATGTTTCCACTTGATGATATGATTCGTCACTATCAACAATCCAACAACAAACAGCACAATCAAGAAAGTAATAATTTTTATAACCACACTTTTTAGTTTTTCGTGGAGGAGGGGGGAATATTACTGACAGTGAATTTCTAGCTTTGCACAGGGTTACAGAACGGGGGAAGGGGGATAGTGCTGTCAGCAGATAACAGTAATTTCGGAACAGTCTAGACTACTATGGACAGTACTGGTTGGTAGTACTGAAACCAGCTGTCAGTAAATAGGTACCTAGGTAAATAACAGCAAAAAAAACAGAGACGTTTGGTACTTTAAATTAGCAAATTTATTTTTAAATAGATACAGTCTGTTATTCCCTATCTAGCAAGCCTGTACAAAATGCAGCGGATATAAATATAATATTTACAAAAAATATCAAAACAGCTTGACAATACAAAAAACGCTAATCTAAGGACAGTGCATGACTCAAGTCTTACACTGATCAATCACAAAAGAAAAAATGGGTACCCTATAGAAAGTACTTTAGAATTTCATTATGTTAAAATATAAAATAATTTTGATTCCTGTAAAATGGCACAACTTTTCTTGATCCGAAATTTTTTTCGAGCACATTCAAATTTTTATTTTGTGTATGTATCAGTTCTGATGAAAATTGTAGCCATAACAGTATGTATTTTGCTTCTTTCGAATGAGGCGTAATCAAGGAGCAGATAAAACTTTTCATCACTTTTCCCACTTCTGAAAAAGGACAAGTTGAAGTAAAAATAGATCAGATTCTTCTAAAGTGGAAGAATTTTTGAAAATATTTTGAACGCAACTTGGAATAGTTCATGAAATGATGTAAGTAGAAATGTCCCAATAAAAATACCAAATAATTTTCAATTCGAAATCTTTGGAGTTAAACTGATTCAAATAGAAATCATCACAAATTATTGGGATGCTCTATTTTGAAATATAACTCATTGAGTGGGAACTTGGAATTATCTAGGTGTGTCATGTTTTATCTGCCACATTCCTTGTCGCAAGAAGAAACTATAATACAAACATTGAGGATGTGAGTAAATATTAGGTATACTATACAGTGTGTCTCACTGCTAATGGAAACACCCCTGTATTTTACGTAATCGTTGGGTGAGGATCCTGAAATTTGCTTGAGCGAGAGATATACCAAAAATGTACTCTATGACCAAGTGGGGTCTTCTTCAGTGATATACAGAGCTCGCCAACAGCCGTGGAACCACCCCAATTTCCAGAAAATGATATTAGGAGTCGAAATAGGTTGAAAATCACTTCGAATTCGAAATCAGGACACCCAATACACTAACTTATATTATTTTTTCTGGAAAATTTTCATTTCTGAAAATTACATTTTTGTCTCACACTTCATGGAAACACCCCGTATCTTACTTAATTATCGAGTTGGGATTGTTAAATTTTCAGGAGCAAGAAATATTCCTAAGATACAGTCAATGACCAATTGAAATTACCATCAGTGATATACACTGCTAGCTAGCAGCCATGGAACCACCTAAACATGTCCGGAAAATCATGTTAGCAGACAAGATAGGTTGGAAATCCCTTCGGATTCGAGAACAGAAAACAGAACGTCTAATTCACTAACTACTCATATTCCTTCTATACAATTTTCAGTTCTGAAATAATAAATTCTGTCTCACTTTTCACCCCAGTATCTCACGTAATTATTGATGTAGGAGTCTGAAATTTTTAGGACCAAGAATGAGACCAATGACCAAGTAGGATCATCTTAATTGATACACTGAATGAATTTGTTAATATTATGAGGAAAATCGTTACCGATAATAATGGGTGAAAGTTGGTGAATGGGCTTATATGACAAAAAAAATTTATTTCATAATTCGATAGAACTCACCCAAACTAGCTCACCACCGCAAACCGTTTCTTGCTGTGAGCTCCCTATGTTTTATAAAAAATTATTGAAATCCCCGATTTTTCGGACGAGGCGATGATGTGACGTCAAAACCCTAATACTGAAACAAGACTATTCCAGACAGAGATGGATGATTTCTAACAAAGTGAATCACAGTTGAAAGAATTAATATCTCAGTTGCCTCAGTCTCCGTCGGGCGTTTGGTATTTTCTTTTAACTATGGTGAGATGAGGTTTCTACGTCATAAGAGGGTTCGTTTTCAGAAGGTACTATTATTTATGTCCAAAAATAAAACATTCCAGTAAATTTTTCAATCGAATTATGTTGTCAAGCATTATTTATGTATAAAAGGATCATTATAAACATAGTTTGAGTTAAAAGTTTCACTAAGGTATATCACTGAAGATGACCTAGAGTACATGTTTGGTATATATTTCGCTTAAGCAATTTCCAGGATCCTAACCCAACGAATACATAAGATACGGGGGTGTTTCCATGAAAAGTGAGACAAAAATGAATTTTTCAGAACTGAAGAATTTTCAGGAGTAATATGAATAGTTAGAGAATTGGGCGTCCTGATTTCCATTCCGAAGTGATTTTCGACCTATTTTGACCCCTAATAGGTATATCATTTTCCAGAAATTGGAGTGGTTCCATGGTTGTTGGCGAGCAGTGTAAATTACTGAAGTTTACCCCACTTGGTCAAAGAGTGCATTTTTGGTATATCTCTCGCTCCAGCAGATTTCAGGATCCTTACCC